TCGTGAGTTCAAGCCCCGAGTTGGCTGTCTCCGTCTCTCTCAAAATAAATAAATAAACTAAAAAAAAAAAAAAGTACCAAACTGTTTTCCCAAAGTGGTTGTACTATTTTAACATTCCGGCCAGCAGTGTTTGAGTTCCACATCTTTACCAGCACCTGGCATGGTCGGTCTTTTTAATTTTAGCCACTCAAACAGATGTATAGTAATATCACATTGTGGTTTTAATTTGCATTTCCCCAGTGACTAGTGAGTTTAGCATTGGCTCATGTGTTTATTGGCCATCCGATAAGGAAAAACATGTTTATTAAACGAAATAGGCATCTTTTGGCGCAAATATTTTACCCATTCTTAAGTGGGTTGTTGTCCTAATAACTTTTCAGAGTTCTTTATATACAGTATTTGAATACGAGTCCTTTATCAGATGCATGATTTGTAAATGTTTTCTACTGGCCTGTGGCTTTTCTTCTTCAGGCTTGTAAAAGTATCTTTCAAAATAACAGAAGTTGGTTGTTTTTGTTTTTGTTTTTCAATTTGGATTAAGTCCGATTTATCAACTTGTTTTTTTATGGATATGCTTTTGGTGCCGTATCTCAGAAATCCTTGCCTAACCCAAGGCGACAAGATTTTCTTCTGTCTTGTCATCTAGGAGTTGTTTTAAGTTTTACATTTAAATCTGTTTTGGATTCATATGTTTATATGACACAAGGTATGGATTGATTTTTTTTTTTTTTTTTTTTTTTTTTTTTTTTTTTTTTTTTTTTGCATAGGGATGTTCAGTTATTTCGGAACATTTATTGAAATGAGTGCCTCTTTTCCGGGGCGCCTGGGCGGTCCAGTCGGTTGAGCGTCCGACTTGATTTCGGCTCAGGTCCTGATCCCAGGGTCGTGAGCGTGAGCCCCGAGTCAGGCTCACGCTGGCAGCACGGAGTCTGCTCGGGATTCTTCCTCTCCTCTCTCTCTCTCAAAATAAATAAATAAACTTTAAAAAAAATGAATACCCCTTTTCCACGGAATCGCCTTTGAACTTGCATTGAAAATCCGTTGTCCATATTTGTGTGGGTCTATTTCTGGGCTCTCCGTTCTGTGCCATCGATCTATTTGTTTGTCGTTACAATTACGTTCCACATTACCTGGATTACTGTTGCTTTATAAGCCTTGAAACCAGATGCTATGAGACCTCCTCTTTCGCTCTTCCTTTGCAAAGTTGTTTGGGCGATTCTACGTCCATCCCATTTCCATTTGAATTTTGGGATCGGTTTGTCAAGTTTCTGCCCAAAAAGCCTGCTGAGCGTTTGACTGGGATTGCGCAGAACCTACAGATCACTGTGAGGAGAATCAACACTTGAACAATATATTCTTTAACTGGGATATAATTCACATGCCACAGCCTTCACCATTTTATTATTTTTAATTTTTATTTCAGAGAGAGAGCACGCGCGCGTGCAAGTCGGGGGAGGGATCAGAGGGAGAAGGAGAATCCCAGGCAGGCTCCCAGCTCGGCGTGGCACCCAAGGTGGGGCTCGATCCCACAACCCTGGGATCATGACCTGAGCCAAAACCAAGGGTCAGACGCGCTTTCAACCAACCTGAGGCGCCCAGGCACCCCATACATTCACCATTTTAACGTGCACTGTTCAGTGGTTTCTAGTATAGTCACAAGGTCGTATAACCATCGCCACCATCAAATTCCAGCACATTTCCGTCAACCCAGAAAGAAACTCCATCCCCATGAGCAGTTATTTCAACCCCCATATCCCTCAGCCACTGGCAGCCACTCATGTATTTTCTGTCTCAATGAAGTTGCCTGTTCTGGACAGTTCATGTAAATGGAATCCGACAACACGTGACCTTTTGTGTCTGGCTTCTTCTGTTCCCAGCCATGTTTTCAAGGTTCACCCAGGTTGTGGCACGTCTTAACAACACCGAGCCCACGGCCCCTACCTAAATGTTGAGAAATGCCAGGCTGGGACACCGCGGACAGCATTTTCTAGGATTAAATCCCTGAAATCAGCTTTTGAGACATATATATGTGTTTATTCTTTCTCAAAGTAAACCACGTGACTCATTTCCAGTTAACTGAGGGGACGGCTGGCCGGAGTTTATAAAATCACTGAACTTTCGAACTGACAGGAAACAGAAAATGCGTAGTCAAGAGGTTGCAAACCAGTTGCCCAGAAGCCAACTTGGCGATCGGACGTGTTTGTGTGGCCGATACAGGATGTCATTAATATGTGAGCCAACATTTCCGAATTTGGGAGCGCTCGCAAAAAAAAAATTCTTTAAAAACGCAGACGTCTGGTAGACCAGGGCCCGCATTGCATTTCGCTGGGGTGGGGGCGTGGCTGGGCGAGGGGCGGAGCTTCCCCCCTGCCCTCCCCCCAGGTCTCCCAGGACCCCCCCCCCCCCCCCCCCCCCAGGCCACCCTCCACCTGCCCTGACTGTAGACCTGTGAATTCGCATCTCCTCACACGGGTCTGACCTCTTTTACAGGCAAGTGCTGGCAGGTGACCTGACTTCCCAGAGGGGACAAACCTCGAGTCAGGCGGGGAACCGTACATGCTGATCGAAGTTCTGTGCTGTTTCCTACCCCGTGGACATCCCCTCCCACCAGGGTGACCAGCTCATTCCGGTTTGCTTGGGAATTCTCTGGTTGTAGAACATAAAGTTCTTTAGCCCAGAAACCCTCTCAGTTCCAGGCAAACCGGGATCTTTGGCCACCCTCCCTCTTGCTTCCCGCCCTTTTCCCCCACCGAAAAATAAAATAAGTTGAAAAATGCTTAAAGCACTGGGCCAGACACCGTCATCGTCAGCAGCCCTGCCCCTGCTCTTTCTCCAAGCAGTGCGCAGTCCCTGGGGCAGTGGCCGGGTGGGACCCGTCGTCCTGGGCCTCCCGGGGCCCGCGTGGAGGAGCCTGGCACGCGGAGGGCCTCGGTCCCCGCGGACACAGCGCGCTGACCCCTTTCTGCCAGATGGCAGCGAGCACCTCTGTTTGTGATTAGGGTGCTGGCTGCACTCGGAACCCAGCAAGCCCATGATGAAAGCTTCGAGAAGAACATTGTTAGAGACTTTTCATAGTTTCCCAAGTAAATATTACACTCACTGCTGCTTGAATTACTAATGCCTTGGAAGCCGAGACCGAAATCTGTTCCCAAACAGGCTCCTCTTTTTTTCTCTGTCACCTAGGCACTCGGCATTGTTGTCGAATTGTTTTTCCTGGGCTCGCTCACGGCTCAGAACATTCCCTCAGAGTGACCTCCTGGCACCTCTCGAGCCCGGATCATTTCCCAGCACCTCTGCACCAGCTCCTTATCCCGCAGGAGGCAGGTGATCCCCAAGTCCTATGATGTGGCCGCAGGAAGGGGAGCGGTGGAGCGCCGGCCACAGATCCTCTGCAGGGACACCGGGCTCTGAACAGGCAGCCGCCGGCAGGAGGACAGAGCCCTGCCCACGCGTCCCCTGCAGGCCCCCTCCGGGGCCCTCAACCTCTTCCTCAGCCTCCTGGAGACCAAAGGGCCCTTGGGTCTTCGCCGTCTTTCTTGCTGCTTATAAAAAGCTAGTAAGCAGCTGGTTTGGTTTAGAGAAGTATGCGGCCAGGGTTATTAAACAGAACCAAAGCTGAATAATGAGGAGAGGAAAGGGAAAGCAAGCCGGCTTGTACACGCGGGGACGGTGACAGCTCGTAAATCCCAGCGCCGCCTATTTCTGCCTGGGTCTCTGGCCGGGGCGACGCCGTCCTCACCGAGCCCGAAAGAAGCCCCGGTTAGACCAATCTCATGGAGAAAACGCACTCCGCCCTCCTCGCCATCCCCCTTCCCGTGTGTTGTCCCACACGTACTCGTGACATCGGGGTCAGATGAGTCAGAGTCCTTGGGGGAGGCTGGTCACACAGTAGATGGCCGTGGGAGAGACGGCCAGACGGTAAGGAGGAAGGGGCCGAGCGACCTCAGACAGCTCCCTGCAGTGAGAGGCGCTGAGATCACCGATATCCCGCGAGGGCAGAGGGCGCACTGGGGACAGGGGGCTTGGTGGTCACCTCGGCTGGAACAAAGCTGCCAGCCCCCTGGGGTCCTAGAGCCTTCCAGAGAAGAAAAGCCCGGGACGTGTGGGCTCAGGACTGGACTGTGGGGGTAAATGATCCCTCCTCCCGCTCTAGGGGTGCCTGGGTCACACTGGGGGGCCAGGATTCAGTATAGCACGTGGGTGGGCGCAAAGGGAGGAGAGAGGATGGGAGTATGGCACCGTCTTCTTGTCAACCGTATAATCCTCCAACCCAGCTCTGGAGGGACCTTGTCCCACATCTGAGAGAGAGAAGCCACAAAAGGCAGAAAGAAGTGAAGCGTAACTCCTTAGAATCTGCTAGAAACTGAAGAGAGCGTGGCCTGTGTGCTTAGGGTCTTATACAAGGATCCCAAAACGGGTGGGCAGAGGCTCACATCTCTTTCACTTCCGCTAAAGCAACATATAAAGAAATGGGAAGAAGATGGGGCCGCCGAGGAGACGAGGAGGGGTCACAGACAGATACAAACCACGGAGACCCGACAAGGTCAGCTGAGGGCAGGGCAGGGGGTGTTCAGGGTGGTGCTGTTACAAAGGTGACCCACTGGCCTGTGTTGGTCAGCTAACAGCTTGTCACAAGGACATCAAAACAGGGGTAGCGATCAAGAATAAATACCAAGAAGGGCGCCTGGGTGGCTGAGTCGGTTAAGTGTCTGACTTCAGCTCAGGTCATGATCTCATGGATCGTGGGTTCGAGCCCCATGTCAGGCTCTGTGCAGACAGCTGGGAGCCTGGAGCCTGCTTGGGATTCTCTCTCTCTCTCTCTCTCTCTCTCTCTCTCTCTCTGTCTCTCTCTCTGCCCCTCCCCTGCTTGCTCCTTCTCTCTCAAAATAAATAAACTTAAAAAAAAAAAAAAAAGTAAACACTGAGAATCCCCAAATGCCCTTTTCCCCTTTTTAGGTTGGTCCCATCCTATCTTGTGAGACCAATTTTGTGACCGTTGACTCCAGTAACAAAAAAGAAATGGGGGGCCTGTATGGCCTTTATTCCTTCCCTTTCATTTTCCTGAGCATGCCACGGTTACCATAGTTCACAAAGGCAGCCGTCTGCGACGCACGGGACATTTCCTAAGCTGGGTCTTCTCTGCAGATAGTTTGAGGCTCCCTGTGGCCCCCGCGCTGTGAAGCACCAAGGACTACCCCTCCCCCACTCCCCAGTCCTGGGACCAAAAAACACTGAAATCCAAGGCAGCCCTGGGGGGGGGGGGGGGGTGCCGCACGGGGCCACTGATCAGGCGGCCAGGAGCCCAGGAGCACCCACACCACAGGGACACACGGGGGCCGCAGCTGGTAAATCTGTGCCCTGTGCCGCCCAGGCATAAACCCGGGGGCTATTGGAGCCAGCCCGGCAGAGGAGAGCCTCCCCGGCGACAGTGAGGATGCAGGCAGCCCCAGCATCCCGCCAGAAAAACTGAGGATGGGGGGGGGGGGGGCCCAGGTTCCGGAGACCCCAGCCATCGGGCTCATTATGACTCTACTCTTCCCCTCCTGTCTCCTTCCCCGAACGCCAGATAGAAACGCCAGTTACACGGGGCACAAAAGGATAGTGTGCCTTTCTTTTTAAATCAAGATCACTGCCTGCCCCCTCCCCTTCTATATATGCTTTCCAGTTCCTGTCTTGACACCTACTGGCTTGTGGGACAGGGAAGGTGCCTTCTCTGTGTTTGCTCCTCCCCAGAGCTGCTGGCGAGAAGGGCCACTCAGGTCTCTCGAGAACCGAAAACGCCATTGGCTCCAGTCCAGGAGAGAACATAGGGTACGATTCCACGTATACAAAGTTCACAACCAGGCAAAACTAAGCGAGGCCGTGAGTGGCGAGCACAACGGTTACCCCCTCGGGGTCCAGTAACGAGGAGCGGGGACCAGGGGGCCTGGGGAGAGGGTGCCGCCCGTGTGCCGTTGCTTAGTCTGGGTCCTGGTGAAAGATGCATCCGGCCGGTGACAAGAAAATTGAACCCTGATGGCTTGTCCATGTTCTTCGCCACATGAAATGCCTATACGAAGTTTGAAAAACCTATTGGCTCCAACCGTACAACAAAAGTAAAATAAAATCCTGGGAGACCGAGGTCTTGCTTGACTTGGTTCTGCCTGGGTGCAAAGCGCGGAGTCGTAGGACCACGGAAGCGAACAGCTGCCCCGCAAGAGAAGCTGAGATCTGCTTTTTGGGCCACTGTTTTCCCAGGTGGTTGGGAGGTGGGGGGCACGGTTGACTCATTTTCCTTGCCCCTCCCTCCTGCTCCGTCCCCACCGTGTGGGGCTGGATGGGGGCCAAGGGCTGGAGAATTTGGGCTGTTGCTTTGGTAATGCTTAAATATTGGCTTCGAGTTCTAATGGTAACATAAATAAGCAGGAGCCTTGGGGAGGTCAAAGCGGCCCAGCCTGTTGTCCCAGATCCCTGGTCAAAGCCCATGCACCGCGGTGGCTCAGCTCACCGAAGTCTCTAGGTCTCTCCAGCTAGGACAGAAGATAGGTTGGGGGCTGCACGTGCCCCAGATGCTCAGGGACCCATTCTCCACGCTAGATGTCCTGTCTCAATAGACTCTCCTAAGATTCTTGCTCACGGTGGTCTGGCGATATAGTGGCCAGGAACCCGAATCGGGGGCCTGGGGAAAACTTTCTCCGTCTCTGAAGGCGGGGCGCGCACGGGGGCAGCTCGTAGAGCTAAGATCACTGCTATCAGCAGCCCTGCTTGCTTTTCGGAAGGCCAGGGCAAAGGAAATTGAGTCGTTTCTAGAGGGTACGTCCAGGGACCGGGAGCCGGGGAAGTGAGATGCACGGCGGCGGCCGAGCAGATGAGGCCGCTGGTCCAGGAGGCAGAACAGAGTCTTGCCCAAGATAAATTCTGAATTCCAATCCTCGCTCTTTGCAACCAAAAAGGCCTCGGATTTGGAGGCGTACAGCAAGCCCTTGACTCCTCTGGGCCTCGGTGTCCCCGTCTGTAAGCCATCGAGAGAGTGGGACTCCGGCCCTGGGAACGAGTCCCTTCGAAGCTCCTCCCAGCAGGCCCTCCCCACGCAGATGTTCAGCGTGCTCGCCCGGCCCGTTCCAAAAGCATCCAGATAATAAACCTCCACCGAAGTCTTGGCTCCGAAGGTCAGCTCGTCCTGCCGTGTGTGTGAGGGAGGAGAGAGCACACAGACTTGGGCAGGGGTGGGGTGGGGACAGCTCCCTCTGGGCAAACGCTGAGCCCTGGGCGGTGCTGGGAGGAGCCCGGAGTGTGTGACCACCGGCATGAGGTCATCGCTGCCCTCCCCCTGGGGCGTGATGTGTCAGCAGGCTGAGAGGGGCCTGGAAGCCGTGATTCATGGCGGTGAACATTCCTCCCGCAGACCTCAACCCTCAGCCCACGGCTGCCCTTCCCAGCTGCCTCCTTGTTTTCTCTCCCTCCGGCTCGGTCCTCCTAAGGCTCCAGCCGCAGGCAGCCAGGAGGGCGTGGGGTGACACAGGGCACCACGGGGGCCGGGTGTCCCCGCGGACGCTGGCAATGCTCCTTTTGACCCGCTGGGCCCCTGCAGGGCCACAGGCAGCACAGTGATGCTAGCGGTCGTTCACGGGACACCTCCTATGTGCTGTGTGTCCAATGCTTGCGGTGACAGCTGTCCCTTGAGGGGGTGTTTTTGTCTCCCGGGACGGCCCATGACAAAGTGCCACAACCCGGGTGAGGAAAACAACATGCATCAGTTCTCCGGGTCCAGGAGGCCACAAGTCAGATGTCAAGGTGCCGGCAGGCCCACGGTCCCTCCAAAGGCTCCGGGGGAGAATTCTTCCTGGCCCCCTCCAGCTCCTGGAAGCTCCAGGTATCCCGTGGCTTTTGGCCACATGACTCCACTCTCCGCTTTGCTTTCGGGTGGCCTTCTCCGCTCTGTTCACGTCTCTCTGTGTGGCCTCTCGTCTTCTTACAAGGACACCAGCAGGCAGATTCAGGGTCCACCCTCAGGCCAGGGTGATGTCAGCACGAGATCCTTAACCGATTACATCTGCAAAGGCCCGACTTCCCAGTAAGGTCCCAGGGGTGGAGGCGAATTTGCGGATCCCCTTTTTCACCGATGAGGAAACGGAACAGGCAAAGTGGTTGTTCTTCAGTCCGTCCCATTCCACGTGGTGCCACGACCCACCCCGCTGTGTCCGCTGACACCCGGACACATCCAAGCAGGAGGGGAGCCACGTGGGAAATCTCAGCTCCCGGGAGCAAAGCACGGTCCCACACGCCAATCATTCTCCAGCTTCAGTTGCGGGCGAATCCCCGAAAGGAGTTTGTAAAATCCTTCGCGGGTTCTGACCCAGTTGGCTGGCAGGGAGGGGAGAGCCACACCGTAAACAAGGCCCCAAACCGCGTGTGACTCGGCACAGGCAGTACCGACGGGTCCGACACCGCGTCCTGAGAATCCCAGACGCATCCATTGAGACCAGACCCCGGACTGGAGATCAGCCCGTCTCCGGCTCAAGGTAGGAGCAGAGAGCACAGCTCAGCCGGGGAGACTCGTCCCCCGTCCACGCCAGGCGAGCCCCGCTGGGGCCCCGCGGGGACCAGGAGCCCTGGGCCCGCGGCAGGCAGCTTGCGCTGAGCAACCCAAGGTCAGCTTTGGATTCAAACTCCCGTTCCTGAAGGAGCCAAGGCAGGCTCGTTCTGGGAGAGCCCCAAGGCAGCTCTGGGCTCTGCCCAAACCCCAGCATGGGGGATGCGGAAAGGCCCAGAGAGGGAGCCAAAACCCTCTTTCCCCTTTACCATTCCAGCGCAGAGAGCTTTTCCCCAGGCCCAGCCCGTTCCCGTGCTGGCGTCACCTGCACCTCCTCGGTGCCAAGCAACCGTGGAGACCCAGCGCTCGCTCTCCCTGCCAGCGGGGGTCCCGGCCACGCGCCCCATGCAACGCAGCTCCGTCCCACGGCCCAGAGCCCCGAGCAAAACAGGTACAGCTGGTGAACAAGACGTCCTTGGCATCTCACCCGGGCCTCCTTTTCCCGGTCCCACGAAAATACATGAGCTCAGCTTCTGGACCAGTGGCCCAGGTTTCCACGGGGCCCCTGCCGCGGGCAGTGGCCCTGCGGGCGACCGTGCCTAGAATTACCTCTGACTTACAATCTGCTTGCAGGCCCCAAACTCTCTGAGGCTTAAGAAGGGAGAAAGCAGGGGGCACCTGGGTGGCTGAGTCGGTTAAATGTATGACTTTGGCTCACATCGTGATCTCACAGTTCCTGAGTTTGAGCCCCCCCATCGGGCTCTGTGCTAACAGCTCAGAGCCTGGAGCCTGCTTGGGATTCTGTGTCTCCCTCGCTCTCTGCCCCTCCCCTGCTAGTGCGCGCTCTCTCTCTCTCAAAAATAAATAAACATTAAAAAAAAATTTTTTTAAGGGAGCAAGCAGGAGTAAAGGGAAGAAAAGGAGTCTCACCAGCAAGCAGGCCCTGTGGAATGAGGGCGCATCCTAGGATCCCTGCGGATGGACAGCTGCTGTGTTTTTATTTCGTATTAAGGTGAGATACACATAACATAAAATGAACCATTGTAAAGGGAAGAATTCAGTGGCATTTCGCAGAGTGTTTATTCACCCTGTGGTGCAACGATCACCTCTACTTACTTCCCACTCGTCCCCCCAAAAGAAAACCCCTTACCATTAAACGTTCCGCCCCACCTCCCTCCTTCCCGGCCCCTGGCATCCACCAATCTTCATTCCGTCTCTACGGACTCACCTCTTCCGGACACTTCCTATAAGTGGAACCATACAATATGTGACTGGACGTCTGTTATTTTCACCGGCCGGCCCCTCAATTCCCTGTTCCTGATCGGAGCGCGGGTATTTCACTTTGGGGACGGCATCCCACCCCACGCCCCTCAATCCGCGTGGCTGCCCCCACCCACCGCCCGCAGGCGGCACGTGACCCAAGTTTCGCAAATCGGGCGCCATGATTGGCTCAGGGATGGGCTCGTGACTCACCTCCAGCCAATGAGAGCAGCCGCAGGACTTACCCTGGAGCAGGCGTCCGGGCCGGGCGACAGGAATGGCCGGGGCCCTCCGTTGCTGCTGTGCGGGGAGCGGCCCACCTGAGAATGGAGCCCACACGGAGGGAGGTGGAGACAAAGGCGGAGTTCTTGCCGACGTGGGCTGAGCACCTGGATTCAGCTCTTCCTGAAGGCAGAGCTGTCCCCAGACGCCGCAGTTTTGAAAGCTGATAACTACCTTTTGTGCTCAAGGTAGTTGAAACTCGGTTTCCGTGACATGGAACCCACACAGTCCCCGGGGCAGACGTGACTCTGTTTCACTCTCCTGTCTTTGCACCTCCCCATCCCTTATGGAATAAACACGACTCCGTAGCAAGGAGCCTGAGGCCATCCTGATCAGCCCCTTGCTGCCCTCCTTTATCCTTTGTACGGCCCAGCTCTCATTTAATATGCCAGCCACACAACTCACACACACACACACACACACACACACACACGCACGCATGTGCACACCCATGATACTTTCTCCAGCCTTTGGGCACACACCTTCCTGCCTTCTTTGCCCAGAATGCTCTCATCACCCCCAGCCTGACCCCCCCCCCAATGCTTACTCATCCTTTATCACACGGTTCAGGCATCACCTCCTCCAGAAAGCCTCCCCTGACTAATTGCCCCACCTCTCCTCCAGCTGGAAGCCACATCCGGGGCTCCCCGCAGCCCTGTGTATGGCTCAGTGCCAGCACCGGCCTGTGCGGTGTTTTTAATGACCTGTCCATGCCTCCTCTCCGCCCAACACGGTCAGACGGGGGTCCTTTCGAGCTACATCTGTGCCCGGCTCACTGCTGACCAGCTCAATGCTTGGGCCACAGCAAGGCCTCAATGCGTGTCTGCTGAACAAATGAATGAACCAAATGTCTTGGGACGCACTGTCGGAGGAGGTCATCCCGTCCGTCGTCCCCCCTTCCTCACCGGCTGGTTCTGATTTGCAGAGAAGCCGAGGCAGTGGGGTCAGGCCTCTGCCTGCCTCTTGCCAGCTGGCCCCATGAGCTTTGATTCAGTGTCTGGGCCTCCGTGAGCAGAGAGGAGCTCAGAAGGTGACGTTGGCAGAGATAGGACCAGAAGCCTCCTCGGCTCATTCTTCTTTATTTCTGAGGCTCCCAGAAGGGACCGTCCCCCCTGGATGCCATCGAAGGTGTGAACAGCGGCGTGGGCCCGAGCTGGATGCCTCAGGGCTGCCTGGGAAGCGGCTAGCCAGGGAGCGCGGGAGCCAGAGGGTGAAGATTCATATATGCCTCGACCCGAGTTGCAGGCGAGGGAGCAGAAGTTGTCTCTCTGGACACGTCCTGCCTCCATGCCTCCGGCACCTGCACTTCCCATCCTGCCACGTGCTGCCTCTGGCACCACTCGGAGACCCCGCAAGTGCCCAGCCAGACTCCCCCCCCCCGCCCCCACCCCGCAGAAGAGTGCCAGGCCCACCTCTGGAAGTTTTTTGGTGGCAGGGTTACCGTGGAAGATTGCTTCTCAGGGATTCCTTTTTTCGGGAATAATCTATGACTTTGGAGGGAAGGGTGGCGTTTCATTTGTTCATTTATCCGCCAGCATTCATCCAGAGCCTTCCACGAGCCAGGCTCTGTGCTAGGTGATGTGTAGGGCACAAACACGGAGGCCGTTTCCACCCTGGAGCCACAACACTAAGTTGAAAACGGGCGCCTGGGTGGCTCAGTCAGTTAGGCATCCGACGCTCAGTTTGGGCTCAGGTCACCATCTCACGGTTTCCTGAGTTGGAGTCCCGCTTCAGGCCCCGTGCTGACAGTGCAGAATCTGCTTGGGATTCTCGCTCTCTCTCCCTCTCCCTCTCTATTCCTTCCCCACTCTCTCTGTCTCTCTCAACATAAGTAAATAAACTTAAAAACAAAAAGAATAAAAGAAAGAAAGAAAGAGAAAGAAAGAAAGAGAGAAAGAAAGAAAGAAGAAAGAGAGAGAGAAAGAAAGAAAGAAAGAGAGAAAGAAAGAAGAAAGAAAGAGAGAGAGAAAGAAAGAAAGAAAGAAAGAAAAGAAAACAAGATTTTACACCTGCCCTTAAGTGAACAGTTTGCTCCTAAAGGGAAAAACAAACCAACGAAACCTGATTCCAGGTAAAGGGAGATTTCGCTCCACCGGTGAGAGAGAATGTGCTCCCGAGAAGGGCACGCTGAAGGTGTGGGTCCTTCCCGGCCTGGAGCCCCGGTGACGTCATAAACACCAGACCAGAGAGAATGTTCCAAGTGGCCCCCCATGGCCTGCATCACCTCTCCCAGAGGATTTGTGAGGGAGCCTCACAGAGCAGGGCCTGGTCTCGGAGGTCACTGGCTCCCTCGTGACAGCTGACTCTGCTCCAGGGAAGAGGAACTGGAGAAATTCTAGAAGCAGGAGAGGATCACCTTCCAAAGGGCCCCTGCCCTCAGAGGCCACCTCTGGAGCCGGACAGCCCAGCAGGCTGGAATCCTGATTTCTGTCTTGTTCTCCGCTATGTCTCTCCGAAACACCAGATCACAAAGCCCCACAATTTCCCCGTAAAGTTTAAGTTTGCAGGCCACGCGGCATCCGTGGCCACCGCTCCACTCTGCCACGGCACAGCCACGGCAGCCTTGTTCACTGTGGAAGGAATGGCCACGGCCGTGTCTGAACAACAGGCTTTCTTTATGGACGCTGAACTTTGAATTTCCTGTCATTTTCAGATGTCACAAAACATTATTCCGCCGCCAATTGTCCTTCCCCAACCATTTAAAAACGTGGAAACCATACCTAAGCTGTAGGTGTTGCAAACAGATGGCGGTCGGGATCTGGCCTCACAGGCTGCAATCGGCTGACCTGGGGACCACAACCCCTGGGATCAGATGCAAACACGGGGCTCCGGACACCGCCGATCAGGGTCCCCTGGCCCCCTCTTGGACCCCATCTAACGTCTGTACTTCTCCGTTCGTGCTGCGCTTGTGGCTTCTTCTGGAACATTCTTCCTCCCCTTCCAAAACTTGATTGTTCTTTTGCTTTGTAGTTTTTATTGTTTAAGTTTATTTATTCTGAAAGAGAAAGCATGAGTCGGGGAGGGGCAGAGACAGAGGGAGAGAGAGACTCCCAAGCTGGCTCTATGCTGTCAGCACAGAGCCCAGCGCGGGGTCTCGAACTCCCGAACCACGAGATCACGACCTGAGCCAAAGGCAAGAGGCAGACCCTTAACCGACCGAGCCACCTGGGTGCCCCTCCAACACTTGTTAAGTCTCACTTCAGGGGTTCCACTTCTGGGGAACCTCTCCTGATATCAAGTCAGGTTAGGGTACTCTTCTCTTTGCGGATCAGGCCTCAACACTAGGCCCTTAGTGAGCTTGTTCCTTGGTCTCCGTCATCAGCCTATAAGGTCCCCAGCACCGGGTCTGGGCCTTTCGTCCCCTGTCCCGGCACCTCTGCGGCACGTGGAATAGAATATGTGCTCAGTAAATGCTTGTTGGACTGATTTATTCCCCCCCATCCCCCTACCTCCCTCCTCCCTCCTCCTCCTCTCCCTCCCCTCCTCTGTCCCCCTTCCCCCTCCTCCTCCCCCTCCCTTCTTCCCCTCCTCCTCTCCTCCTCCCCTCCTTCTCCTCCCCTCCCACTTCTCCCCCCTCCTCTCCCTCCCCTCCTCCTTCCCCCTTCCCCCTCCTCCTCCTCTCCCAGCCTCTAAGGTTGGTGGCCCTGAGGGCTCAGGCTCAGAAAGTCTCCTTTTCTCCACTCGCCCTCTCATCTTATGTGACCTCACCCTACAATCGGGCCACCTACGCGGTGACAAGTCCCAAACGTGTATCACTCCCGACTTTTCCCATGGACCCCAGACCCAGACATCCTGCTCCCCACTCATGTCTGCGCGGCTTTGGGGTGGCCATCCTGAGTATTCCACGCCGCACACCTGTCCCTCTTAGGCTTCCCCATCTCGGTCAACGGCAGCACTAATTCTCCGGGTGCTGAGGCCGAAACCACCCCCCGCCCCCAAGTCCTCTCTTCCCCTCACAGCCCCGGTCGAGCCATCAGAAACCCCAGCCGGCTCTATCTCAAATACAGGCAGCACCTTCATGCCCCCACTGGTCCCAGCCACCAGCCTGCCGCCTAGATAAGTGCAGGGGCCTCTAATGGCCCCCTACCTCCGGGGCCCTGCTTGTCCCCCACCTCTCTTCACACGGTGGCCAGGGGGGCCCTGTTGCCACAGAAGCTCAAACCCTCTGGTGGTTCCCATCTCATGGGGCTGCTCCGAGTGTGTGCCAGGCACTATTGCTGCTCATTACCCCTCACCACAGTCCTCAGGTGGGACCCGAGAAACAAAGGCACAGAGAGGTTAGGAAGCTTTCCCGGGGTCACACAGCAGTGATTCAGCTCCATTCCTTAAGATGGCCTTCCTGATCACACCCCTCCCTCCCTGGTATCTGCTCCTCCCTTAGCCCCAGCCACACCAGTCCCTTCCTTGTTCCTTTCTTTCTTTTAAATTTTATTTAGTTTTAGGGGCGCCTGGGTGGCTCAGTCGGTTAAGCGTCCGACTTCGGCTCAGGTCATGATCTTGCAGTCCGTGAGTTCGAGCCCCGCGTCGGACTCTGGGCTGATCGCTCAGAGCCTGGAGCCTGCTTCCGATTCTG